AAAGGGGTGACACCGAACCCTCAGTTACCGCAAGGGGGGGGGGGGGAAAGGGGGCACCCAGCCCAGTGACGCCACTGCATAGCTCTACTATATATCATGCCCTTCACGATACAACAATTTCATTACAAATTATAAATCGCCATTTGCACACTTAGTAGATATAAAATGTGCACGTAATCGTACTAGCTTACTTCCCGTCATAAGGCGGGGAGCGGTTGGGGGGGGGGGGGGGGAAGGAGCTGTCCGCACCGGTGACACAATATACAGGGGTGACACCAAGGAAAAAAAAAACATAAAATTTACTGCCAAAGCAATGTTTCATTCGGTTAAAATAATAAAATAGTCGTAGCGGTGGTGACTCAAAATAAAAAATGCTAAATTTTGGATGGGGGTGGGGTGACACCACAAGTTATCGCACAGGTAATATGCGACCTATGGACGCTAATCCTGTAAATCAATACTACTCAGAAAAAAGTATGTGTTTGTTCCATTACGAAATCCACCTTAGCATGCCAGCCAATGAATACCATTACATTACACATTCTACAATACCAAATCAACGGCTATCGTTTTATGCAAGACTATGACATTGAACCTAGATAAGGCCATGCACATACAGCCATTAAGTAGCCGACTCTGTATGCTAATTTTAGATCAAAAGGTCCCATGTTCATTTTTGTTAACTAATCTTCTAAGGAAGTATTTTTCTTATTAATATTAATCCACTAAATTTACTAAATATGCGGACACTTGAAATGGGGCGGTGTAGGCAAAGGGTATGTCATTCGACTGCTAACCCCAAAGAGTCGAGTTCGGATCCTTGGCTAGAGTCGTAGCACGTCCCTGAGTACACTCAGACCTTATGGGTACCTGGCTCATGTTACGGAAAGTACAGGCGGTTGGGCATAATGCTGACCACACGATCTCTTCATATGCCGAGCTCAAAGAAACAGGTAAACTCTGTTTCACCTGCCCCGTTAAAAAGGGAACTTTACTTACTTTACAAATGCATATACAAGCGAGGAGATTAATTTTATACTTACCCAGACACAAAAATAAGCATTATTTTTTTAAAGCTCTAATTTTAAAAAATAACCAAATTAAATATGATAAAAATATAATTTCGGACGATTATGTTTGATACACAACTGAAAAATAGAATTATGTGTTATAACCCCCCCCCCCCCCCCTCTTCCAAGCACTTCTACCGACCACCACCTCCCCCTCCCGATCAAAATAGAAACAAATTATACTTTAAATACAAAGTGCGCCCCCCCCCCCCTCGACTGGAAATATTAGTCCGCACCCTCCTCCCATGAACATTTCTATCACCCACCCCCATCCCATTTGAGAAAATTGTCTGCAATTAACACTGGCTATAACTAACATCAAATCAGAGACAAATATTAAAGTGAGGGCTTAACGGATTTTTAATATTTTCCCACTTCAAGTCAAGTTTAAATCATTTTAGATGTAGGCTAGTAATCGTTAGATCTAAATAGGGGGTGAGTGGGTATGGAAAGTCTGATGCCGTTTTTTTTTTAAGTTTTAAAAAAAAAATTAAAACCCATTCTTGCAATTGTTTCGCTTAAAAAAAATGTTGTAATTTGTGTGTAATGGGGCTACAATTTAATCTGTAGAGCAGTGGCGTAGCGAGGTCGGGTGTTACCCGGTGCGGCACTTAATGGTGTCACCCCCCAGAGGCGTAGCGACCCTTCCCGGGGACAAACTTTCAAATTTTTTATTTGCACCCCCCCCAAGTTTTCGATTTTGCACCCCCCTGAAGTTTTTCTCTATATATTTTTGCTATTTTTTGCCTTGGTGTCACCCCCCCCCCCCCCCTAAATGGTGTCACCCGGTGCGGTCCGCACCCCCCGCCCCCCCCCCCCCCCCCCCTTCGCTACGCCCCTGACCTAGAGATCTAGTTCTAAATATAATGATCCAGGTCAGTTAATATTTTAGAAAACAATATTAAAAAACGAGTGATATTTTAGGATTGTTGGGCTGAAGTGTGACGTCATTTTAGGGGACCTAGAGCGACAAGTCGAAAGGGGGGTGAGGTGGTAAATATTCATTAAATTTTAATAAATTTTGAGTCGCCCATAAATTACATTTAAGGACGACACCATGAGTCTCTATCCGACTAAAGATAATATAGATCTAATACCAGATCGTACGTTTGGACTTGCTTATCGCTTGATGTCTAGTAGATCTAGGCCTATATATTTATATTATTATTATTTTGTTACATGTAAACGAAACATTTTTCTATATTTATGTATAGCTAGATCAAACATTGAACAAAAACGCAAGCCTTTTCTATAAAAGTTGAAGAGTAAAGCCTAAAAATAAAAAGATATTCTCCAGGTTAAAAATAGAGGCTTAGGTTTGTGATTATGTGACACAAATATAAGCCTACTAAATTTTTTGGGGGAGGAAATACAACTGCTAGAGATCTAGATCTACGTGTGTGTATATCCAGCACCAGTATAGATCTATATTCACAGTTCCATTAATCTATGTATTTGAACCTGCGTGCAAAACAAAAGGTGAAAAAAGACATGTTGCAAGCATGTGCCAAAGTATCGAATGGATTTAACGAAATTGTGTAAACCGTGTTTTTAAATTTTATTTAAATTCAAATTGAAAGTCTTTTATAAATATTATTATTTAATTTTATTTAATTTAGCAATTATTTTCTAGATAATTTTTAGTTTTTTAAGAACAAAAGAAATATTGTTGCTTTTTTAATTCTATCGTTTACCCTTTCGAATCTTTCTGTTTACTGCTATCTCAGCTTGACCTATTTCGCCTGTAAGCGCATGCGCATAGTGCCTCGATAGAAGGAACTGGCGTTGGAAGTGCACGAATGCAGATAAAACGCAATGGGATTCTCGTAAACAAATCAGCTGTGTAGGATTGTTTTTCTTTGAAGTGCCAGTGACCCCAAAATATGACAAAGAAAGGCTTAATTTGTTTACACTATTATATTATGGTATGATCGAGGCTAGCGAAATTCTGGATCTTACCGACGGAAACTCTGCCGAGCGGTCAAACGATGACCAGCACGCTCATGGAGCTATCCTCGGTTCGGGGCATCCCCTTCTACCCGGCAGACAAACCACCCAGAACATTTCATCCCTTGTCAGTATTCACGACATTGAAGAAATGACACCCAATGATGAGCAGAATGGTATACAATATTTATTATTATGTTTATAATCATGTTAAGTTAACCCGATTATGATGCACCCTCATGGCTGGCTAATCACATCAGATTCAGAAAAGCAGTGTGACTGTTGGAATGGTGTGTCCTCATTTTGGTCCATGTGCCAAATGTAGGGTTGATAATCGAGTCAACAGAGGTCAAGTCTCGTTACAATTAAATCTTAACCAAGCAATAAAGAATGAACCTCCCTAAATGCTGAAACACCCTTTGTGTTTCCATCTTGACTGTTGCAGCCACCATGATTTGCATGGAAGAAAATTGATCAGCTGATAAAACTAGACAATTAGTTAGGCCTAAAAGCCTAGATCTAGATTTAGAATCTAGGCCCAGATCTTCAATAGACAATAGTAGTCTATCTATAGTAGGATCTAGCTGCAAGCCCCTCCTTGCAGTCCCCTCTCTTTCTCTCTATCACTATCACCCCCACCCCCACATTATCTGGTGAGCGGTGTTCACTCTAAATTTTTACAAAGCTAAATGTTTACAAATCGTAGAGCCGTACAGCCGGGTTTCTATTAGGGGCAGATAATTTAGTTCGATTTTAAACTTACAGGAGGTAACTAAGAAATAACTAAGAGGAGGCTGCTTTCACGGGGGGGGGGGTGTACTGTCGAATTTACAAATTATGAATTACTGAAAAGTAGAAAATAAAACAACTAAATAGCGGCGTATGATACGCTGCGGGTCGGCTCGTAAGCCATAATTTAAAAAAAAAAGAACTGAACATTAGGCTAAAATAAGTCTAGACTCCATTCTACGTTTCTTTGGCCAATTTTGTATTGATCTAGAATAGATTCTAGGTCTTATTTTAAACAGATTTTAATGTTGAAGGCAAAGAAATGAAAAATGCAAATCAATGGTATGGTTCTACAGTAAAAATATTTTACTTACGAGAAAAATGGCCCGTTGAGGAAGGATACACCGGGCGCTAGGCTGATAGTGCTGTCTCTTTTCTCTAAACTAAAACCACCCCCCCACCCCCACCACCCCCCACCCACCCACACACCACCCACACCCCCCCCCCCTAAAAACATGTCTACCGTCCCATTCAACGAAATATAATTATATACTTTTTCCAGTGTCCGCCCCCTCCCCGAAAATTCTACCCCCGCCCCCGAAAATTTCAAGTACCCTCACCCCTCTCCGTGGAGGAAAAAGTCTGAAAGAAACACTGGTGTCGCGCATAGCCACTACGCGAAGAATTGCATTAAAGAAATTGCAAGAAAACCACTTTTTAGATTAGACACATTAATTAGGCGGTAATTTTATTATAGAGTATCGATGAGGAAATTTCTTTTGAGTTGGGGAGAGGGGGGGGGCTCAGACGTTCTTACGCGGGGGTGGGGCTTCGCCCCTACCCGAAGAATTGTATGAAAGAAACTCTTCACGCAAACCACTTAGATTAGACCAAATTGCCTTTGTATTGATAGTTTACTCGATAATCAATGACGTCATATCAATGTGTGCACTATCCGGATTGAGATTATTTTCTACTCTGTGCGCTAAATGTGTCGACGTCATACTTCGTTTTTCGAATTACTATGCATGTTTTTAAATTGCTTGTCTTTTCTCTAGAGCGTTCTTGTCAGACAGATAGATAGATAGATAGATAGATAGATAGATAGATAGACAGACAGCGAAACTATTATTATAGATAATTAAGAATAGCTTTCTAAAATAGGCCCTAAAAATCACAATAATAATAGACTTGAGGGCCATTATTATGAAAATGTGGCCTACTTTTTTTTAATTAATAAAAATTAGAGGTCTAACTTAAACAAACAGCTTAAGCAAAATTTTAAAACAGATTTAAGATACCTACCCCTAGTCTGTTCTTGCAGCACAGTAATAATTATATATAAGACCTATATAACTTTTTTATTCTTCATATACACAGTTTAGAACAGTGGTACTTGACCTTTTTGGAATTAACGAACTCCACTATCACCCCAAAGCATGTCCCATTCAACGAAATGGAATTATATACTTTTACCAGTCTTCCCCCCACTCCCAGTAAATTTCAAGTATCCCCTGGGAGGAAAAAGTTTGAAAGAAACACTGGTTGCATTTGTAGATCATACAAACTAAAGGTAGAGCCTACCTCTATAATATAGACCCATCTTCTACTTTTGGCAGATAAACCTCACTCACATAGACAGTGTTTCTTTCAGACCTTTTTCTGGGGTTGGGACACTTTAATTTTTAGCAGGGGCGAATACAATTCTTAGGGGCGGGGGAGGCAGACACAGGTTACAGTATATATTTTCTATATAAATTATATTTCGTTTTGGGGGAGTGAGGAATTAGATGTTCTACCGGAGGGGAGGGGGGAAAACCATAACAGATGCAAGAAATAAACTCAGCATGCAAAACACTTACGATTAGTCAAATGAATAGGTGGTAATGCCAGTGTTTTCATTATAGAGTATCGATGACGTCATTACTATTGTGTATTTTTTCTGCATTGTCTTTTTAATTCAATGTTTACTTGAGAATCAATGACGTCATACTATTCTACGCACTTTCCCGGCTTGAAACAATTTTCTACTATATGCTTTTATGTGACGTCATGTTTCGTTTTACTGTGAAAGTTTTTATTTTGCTTGTGTTTACTCTTCTATAGCGTTCTTGTCAGATAGATACATAGATAGACAGACAGCGAAACTATTATTATAGATTCTTTTACCTGGCACTTCAACATAAAATTTGAAAATTCTCAGTTAAGCAATTGGATACAATCATTCACCCTACTTACTGGGAAATGTTTGCTACAAATATCTTCTTAACCCAAGTTACCCCTCGCAGTTGCACCCCATGGTCAATCTGATTAGGAGGCTTATGATGATTGCTTTTCTCTAGACCATGTGAATACAGTAGTGTCCTCAATTTTCCTAACACGTTTACTCAATATATACAATTTTATTATGCTTTTGTTGTTAAGTTTATTGTTTCTAGGTTTAAAACAATAAGATAATGGTTGACAAGTTTGGAGGCATGCCTAAAAAGGGAACATGGTTATTAAGAAATTAATCATCGAACCATCTTACACACACACTTCTGTAAATAAAAAAAAAAATTATTTCTATTTGTTTTAGATATTTGCGTAACTGGCTGTGCAATATCTTTAATACAAGGTTATAAGTGAACTAGAGGTATTAATATGAAAATACCTTGCAAGTTGGTCTAATTGAAATTGGTTCTTAAATGAGTGAATAACACTGAGTGTAGAATTCAGCAAATCTACTGTTTCCTTTTACTGAAAACTCTGTAGTAATAATCATTGATATGTTCATGGTTAGGTAGTGACTGGTGATACAGGGGTAAACTACTCTTAAATACTTTTTATTGCATTACCTGTTAACAATAGACTTGATTAGATAATTCCAAACACAGTGATTTATATTGACATGACTTTTTATTGTATTACCTGTTAACATTAGACATGATTAGATAATTCAAACACAGTGCTTTATTTGACATTGACTTTTTATTGCATTACCTGTTAACATTAGACATGATTAGATATAGATAATTCAAACACAGTGCTTTATTTGACATTGACTTTTTATTGCATTACCTGTTAACATTAGACATGATTAGATAATTCAAACACAGTGCTTTATTTGACATTTAATTTTTTCAGCCTCGTCTATGGTGGATCAGGATGTGAAAGATGTCAAGATTGGGTTTGAAGAGCTGTGCCCCGTCTGTGGGGATAAAGTGTCAGGATATCACTATGGGTTACTTACATGCGAAAGCTGTAAAGGTATGTACGTTGCTGTTTTAAAGAACTGATATATATATGTATCTGATTTTTCGAACGACTTAATACATATACATTACATTAGTGTTTTTAGGCCTTTTGTGTGCAGATGAACATTATTGACTCTAGAAACATCAATAACGTAATGGTTTTGCTGTGAAGCCAACTATTGAATAATATTTAAATTCAATAGCTCAAAGGGCTTAGTGTATTTACTTTTTACTTTCCTATTTTACGACTACAAACTTGAACCATAAGGCAAGTTTTGGTTTGCTAGAAATAAGTAACAATTATTTCTAACTAACATCACAACTGATGTTTGAAATAAATTCCTGTTAAACTTAACTGCTATTAGTTACCAGTTAAACACTAATTTTGGATGTGCCCATTGTTGGACAGTGGTTGATACAATTTTTCAATTAGACTAATATTTATCATTCATAGATTAAATTAATCCATCCTATTAATTATGTTCAATGATCTTGATTGAAGATGTCCTCCCTCCTATTCAAAGCATGCTGGAAATTTTCTATTTTTATGCTCTTTATGCAAAATAATGAAGAAATTTTTTTTTGTCTTGGCTCCCATTGCTCAATTGTGTTTTCTTTTTACATTTCCTTTTTAAAAAGGGAAATCCTGCTCATGTCTCATGGGTGGCTATAGGTTAATTTACAGATTTATATTTCAAGGGTGACATATTTATTGCCTCTCACATAAGGGCATGCCATAACTTTTAAAGAACATACCATAAGTTACTTTTTTTGTCTAGTGTAAACTAGAAGGATCATAATGTGATTGGCATGGCTCATTTCTGGAGTGTATTAGTATTTAGAGTTACCTTGATAACCAATGTTTTAAGATAAACAGTTATAAAAATGTGTTTTCAATGCTATTTTCAGTGATATTTTATTTTGACTATAAAATCTCTTGCAGGTTTTTTCAAAAGAACTGTACAGAATAAGAAGGTTTACTCATGTGTGGACAACAGGAACTGTCAGATAGACAAAAGTCAACGCAAGCGCTGTCCTTACTGCAGGTTTCAGAAATGCCTCAGTGTTGGGATGAAACTTGAAGGTATGTAAATTTAATACACTGCCTAGATTTACAGGTATTTTCTAGTATTGTTAGTGATTATCTTACTTAAGTATTCGTTTGTTGACTTAGAGTTAATTTTTGTTGTCTCATACATTCTTTTCAGCTGTCCGGTCGGATAGGATGCGTGGTGGACGGAACAAATTTGGGCCTATGTATAAAAGAGATAGGGCACTTAAGCAGCAAGCAGCCCGGCAAGCCCATGTCATACATGGGTCCTGTGGGGACATCCCCTTATTAACTAATGGAATGATGGGTGGAGGGACGCCTGGTTCCCCGGAGGATGTTAAGCCTGACCCTTTGCTGCTGCAGGCCAGCCTTAGCTTGTATTCAGGCACCATATCAACTTCAACTACCTCTAACCTTATATCAGGTCTCATTCCTGGGCTCAACTGTGTGTCTGCCTCGGCCGCAGCACCCTCTTCGTCTGCATCCACAGGTGGGGGGCACAACGGGTCCTCCTCCCCGCCCACTGCTCACCCCCACCACATCTCACACAACAGCCATCAAAACAGCCACCAGAGCCTCGTGCCTATGACAGCGTCTCAGGGCTTCTCAAACAGCTTTGTCCACATCCCCACCCTGGCTGTGCCTCAGCCCCAGAGCCCCAAGTCTCACTACTCACAACAGCACCGTCACCACCACAACAGCCAGCTGCTACAGCAGCAACAGCACAGCCCTCTGGGCCGGGGCGACCAGAGCCCGGTCGGACACCATCACCAACAACACCATGTGCAGCAGCAGCAGCAACACATGCAAGCCTTATCTGATATTCAGATGCAGTCAGGGCATGGTCAGAATCAGCTTCATAACCTCATGCCCCAGCGGAGACACGCCAACAACAACGGCGCTAACAGCACCTCCGTCAGGGCTGGTGGACAGGAGAACGAGCCTCACTTTCCTCCGACGTCTTCTCAAGCCAGCCCAACTGTGATAGAGGCTCTTAGAGCTTTCCAAATACAGAGCCCCAATATTGGGCTAGACAGATCTGTGTTATCACCTCTCATAGCGGAAATCAAATCTACAATGGGCGATGAAACCGAGGTGAGGTTCTACTTCATTTATTTGGTATATGTATAGCAATCTGTAATTAATGATAAATATATATCGGGAGTCTGGGTTTGGTGGTACATAAGTATATAATTTAGATATGTTCTTTCTGATTTAAAAATGTCTGAAAATATGTTGTTTTGGTTGATTCTAGTCAAAAAGTATGGAAAGGCTCTGGAATTGTTATTCATTTATAAAAACAGGAAATCTTGATCAAAGGCTTTGAGAATGAATATGTATAACCAAATAATAAACAAATCAGAAGGCAGTACATTATGGCTATAGTGTGTTTACTTTCTAGTCAGAACGTTTTAAAAATTATTTGACAAGGGGCTGATATTGTAGTTATATTTCCTTTTTTATTCTTTTTTTCTGAACAACTAATTTTCCCACTTCATTCATAATCTGTGGACATTTTTGTTTAAGTTTAAGATTAACTCAAAATCATGCACACTTTAAAATAACAGCAACTAAAAAGTGTATTTGAACCACTTGTTATATAGTTTGATCTGCGCAGGATGCTCTGTATTGCCCTAACACAAAACAACAGTATGAAGCATAACCTACTAAATACAACAAACAAGGATCTTTGTTTTTTTTTACACCATTTTTTAAGCTTTAAATCTGAATTTTTTCATATTACTAAATCTTCAAATTTTTTGCATATAAATTGGGGCCATGCAATTTTTAGCGCAATTTCCATTCTGGAGAATTGCGTTTATTAACCCGTCATTTCTGGATGTATGAATGAATGTGTGTCCGCAGCTTTAACTCGTATCTCCTCCTCAACGAAGCAATATCGAGGACTAGTTCCAAAAGCAATTATGTCAAGCAAGTTGCGAGGATGAACATAGGCCTAAAAAAATTCCGGGTTTCTTTCATGGATTTCCCGGAAAAGCCAAAAAACCTCACAAAAATGCAGTTTTTGGCCCATATCTCAGCAACCAGACCACTTAGCGACTTGAAACATTTACCAATCGATTCCTGCCATAATTTAGAACAATATTGCAGAAGAAAGTTTTCAAAAATATCCTTTCGGTCGGTCACAAATTTTAAAATTACATAAACACCTACAAACCGATCGTTCTTCTAGCTTGAACGCACCCTAGCATTATACGTCAGAGCTATTTTTAGATAACATAAGGAAATTGCGCATAAATGTCACTAGACTTTTTAATTAACTTGTTTAAATAGTGTTACTATTATTCATATATAGATGTCTTTTCGATCTCTACTACTACAAGATACTCGTATAGAGGGAGGTAAATCGGGTAATCATCAGACCTGTTTCAATTTTTATTTTTTGCATCCCAATATGCATTAAAAAGATACTAATAATAAATCAGTAAATGAAACAAACATTTTTAATCTTTGTAGAAATTTCTTAGTACCACTTGATTTTTTTAAAATTTTCGTCATGGCGTAGGTGGCTTTGGCTTTATTTTCAACATGTTGCATACATACCAGGGGTATTTTAATTATCTTGTTTACTTTATATATTGTTTTCTAAGATCAATGGCCTGCATTCTTAAAGTGCATTTGATAATGCCTTATTTCAGTTTGTCTGTGATATTCGAGTTATCTCCAATTGTGACTTTAAACATGTCCCATCAACTAGACAAAAGCATACCATTTCAGCTCAGTTTGATTACTTTTACAGATTACTCAAATGTAAACCCTATTTAATTATGTTAACTAACGAGCCTGCTTTTACAGAAGCCTTATTTATCCAAATGCTGCTAAAACCTAGTGATTAAGTACCAAATTTTACATAACTCCCCCCGACACGGTGGTGGAATTTGTAAACATGATTTTTGGCCCAATTTTTTTTCCAAGTAAAAACATGAATTTTAATGTTGTTTTGCGCTATTTCTATCTTATCTACAATTTAAGCACTTAGTGTTTTTTTTTTAATTGCTTTAAATTTCCAAATTCAAATTGGAGTTCAAAAACCGTAGGCCTCAATCTGGTGAAAATCTTTTACAGTTTAAAACAATTTTTATTTTCTTGATGGCTTCTGAATTGTTTTCTTCAAATAAAATGCTTATTCTAAGTAAATAGTAATCCTGAATTGTATGTTAAAATAAGGTGTTACTGATATTTTAATCTCTTGTGACATGATTTGCATAATATTTGACAGATGGAGATGAAATTTGGTATACCATGTCATTACACCCACAACATCATCGTCCATACATGGATTAATTTTTTCAGACAAAATCCTGAGGTCTTGTTGAAAGGGGATAAAAACTAATAAATTACAAGACCTAATTAAATGTACAAAAACACTAAGAAAAACATTTCAGTATTGTTCTAGATGTAGTAAATGTGTTAGCACTGGCACACAACAATTTCAAGACTTTTTTTTTTATAATGCTCAGCGTGGTCAAATAACGTGTGATTGCTTAATCAAAAAGTCCTGAGTTTAGATGAGGCTTGTGACAGTGATCCATTGTTAGTCTGCTACTTAGAGAAAACTCAAATCAGACACTGCAATGTGTGCTCTATGAAACTTTAAGTTTTTGTTAATCACCCTTTGTGAGGGTTAGGTAGAACCATCTTGGCAACCATCTTAGTCTCATGAATACTCCTGGTAGCGACTGTTTACACTTCCAAAGAGGTACCATCCCTGGTTCTGTGTAGTATCCCACCTTATCCCTAGTATTGGGTGCTCTTTAAAGTGAATATAGGCTCAGGGGGAGCTAGGGTGCCTTGGGCTACAACAGTTTTAGTTATTTTTCATATCAGTGCCTAAAATGATTTGTGTAAATATTCTAATGTAAAGGATTATGTTTCTAACCATATCTTTTTTAAACTAGTATTACTTTTATGAAACCCCAAAAAACTTTTTTTCAGGTAAAATTCTAGGTTCTAACCTCCATCGGGCAATTTTTCTTGACCGTTTAACATACGCCTATAACCATCATTAAATTTTTTTCGGGTTAAATACAAGATGCAAACCATCATCAAGAAACTTTTGTAAACATTTTAACATCAGACAATAATTTTTTTTAGGTTAAACACAAGATGCTAACCTTCATGCAAAATGAGCTGTCTCAGACCGATATCTTGTCCAGTCCAGAGCAATTTCTTCCAGTTTTGTGCCGGATGGTTGATCAGCTTTTGTTCCTCATGGTGGAGTGGGCACGCAATTCTTCATTTTTTAAAGAAATCAAGGTTGGTACAATTTCTATTGTTTTATCAGAAGTTATCTGTTACTGATTTGTACACCAGAGAGTGTAAAAATTTCCTGTTTACAGTTTTTCTGTTGACTATTCTGTTGAAGTTGTGAGGGGCGGGGGTCCCAATGTCTCATTTAAAAATTATTACTCTGTTAAGATTTACTAAATAATGTTTGATTTTCGCATTATGTGGTGTAACTAATTCTGTAGGTTGAAGACCAAATGAAACTTTTACACAACAGTTGGAGTGAAATTCTTATCCTAGACTTCATCTATAGACAAATTCATAATATTTGGGGGAAAGAAATCAATACGGTAATTTACATTTTGTTTTTGGCTTGAAATTGTAGAAGACTTTTTAAAAGGCAGGTAAAATATGTGCATGTCATCTTGACATTTCCCTAATTGTGCTTGAATAATTCAACAGCCCAATGGTCCAGGGATTGGGTTTGAGATTCTGGACAAGCTTGGATTAGGTGACGTCAAGGCGAAAGTGTTTGAGCTGATCAAGAAAGGGAGAGAGTTGAAGATGGACTTCAATGAATACATGTGCCTTAAGTTTCTCATCTTGCTAAGCCCTGGTAAAATAAATTTATAAAATATAATTAAAAAATCAATTAATTATTTTATGTCTGCTGTGAATGATTTTTGTACTGTGCAGGGCTGCCAACTTGTATGATTTTGCCCATTAATTTAACAATTTTGACACAAGCAGATCATTACAGAAAATCTATGCTTTTTTTGGGTAGGCAGCCCTGAATGTAAGAATTCAGTGTTTTTTTTTTTTTTAAAAACTGCGGCCAATTCATATGGCATTTTCAAATGGGTTGATTAATTAATTTTCTTTTAACGCTAACGAGCTGTTGATAATTGAATGCAAATGATTCCCTTGCTTGTGATGCAGGCATGGCCAGTATTAGTTTCACTGTGTAATACCAGCCCACGTTTTTTTTTAACAGCAACTTAAACACAAGTTGATACAAAGACCAAGTTTGAATTGATATTCTGTACACGGGTGGGGGGGGGGGGGTAGAGAGTTGTGGTGGTGTGTAATGACATTTGAATTTCTTGTTGTTCAAAGTGATTGGATCATTCAAACATTGTATAAAATTAATTTAAATGGGTATATAAGTGTCTGAGGTAATTGTTCTCTTGGGCTGTGCTAGAGTTTTTAAAATTATCATATTAGTTCCTTCATAGTTACAGTTACTATAAGGCTAATTATTTAATCATACAAAAAAAAAGTGATGATTGTGTACATTGTTTTACTTTACCCTTATCATAATTGTGCATTGTTTTCCTCTAGGTGTTTCAAGTCTAGAAAACTTAGTTTCACCTAACTTAACTTTAAAATTACATCATAGTTTGTTACTATAAGGTTAATCAGTACCAAAAAAAGTACTGACTTTACATTGTTTGCTTTACCCTTATCATAAATGTGCTTTGTTTTTCCTCTAGATGTTTCCAGTCTAGAAAACCGTAGTTTCATAGAACAAAGCCAAGAGAAGGTTAATGCCGCACTGTTCCACTACTGCCTGATGTGTTACCCAGAAATGAGTGACAAGTTCAGTCAGCTTCTCATGCGGCTGCCAGAGATTAGGCTCATCTCCATCAGGATGGAGGACTTTCTTTACTTCAAACACATGAGCAATGAAGTGCCTGACCAGACTCTACTCACTGAGATGTTGCACGCCAAAAGACGAGGCTAGCCTGCGACAACATGGCCTTATGAAGTGTACTAAGAGAGACAACTGCCTTTTGATGTCGGGGCTTGTCCGTAGTAAAGGGGACAGTGGTATAAGCAGCTGCTGGATGCGACCACATTTCTCTTGCGTTGTTTGAACTAGGCTATACAGACCAAAAGTATTAGCACTTGTAGCCAAAGGGTTGCTTTTTGAATCAGTGGGTTCAAGAAATGTAACTTTGTGCCAATACATAACATTTTGTTGTGGTTGTTTTTTTTTTTAATCTATTTTTTTAATGGTAAAGAAATGTGCATGAAAATATTCCATTTATCATCAAACATTGGTGAATATTTGAATTATGTGACAACATTGAGTGACTTTTGACTTATGTGATTTTATTATGATCTACTTACTGGGATAAGTAGTTCCGTGTAGTCAAGAGTACTATCTTACTCTTGAAGCTTAAATCACACTATGATACTGAGCATTTTACTACAGATGCATAGAAAAATTACAAGAAAATTATGTTGTTACTTAAGGTTAGGTTAGACATAGACTTGTAAGAAAAGTTGTTTGTATGCATACGCTAAACTTTTAACTTTTTTTTTATGACTATTCCCTGTTTACATACAACAAAATATGTATTAATATTCATAATACTAAATCTAAGGGAAGAAGTTTTAGTATAAAAGATTAGCTTTTAAACATTTTTATAAAAAAAAGTTTGTTTAATGCAACCATTAGAGTATAGACTTTTTACAAGCAATACATAAAATTATATAAGGGGGGAAAACTGTACAGCAATTAAATGGCTTAGATGTGCATAATGGACATGAATACTGATGTAGATGTATTCTTTTCTGCACAAATCTGGAAACATCTTTTTCTCTTATTCAGAAGTTTAAAACACTGGCTCGTTAGTGTATGTCTGAAATCTTACTGTATGCAAGTTTGTCTAGAAAAGTTTTGTTTGGTGATGATTTGTATTTAGCTAACTCCAAACCCAGATCTTTGTCATTGTATTACCAAAATATCCAATAGCTTGACATGTTCATCAGATTCAACTGTATGCTTTATGTCTTATTTACGGGTTTTCTCTTAAAGAATATCCTGTGTGATACAATGTTTACCGTATAAACATAGTAACAGATTATACTGAGTGGAAATACAATTTTGTTGAGAGGTTAATTGATTACAGAGATGTACATTTAATATAGAGGATTACCTGTTACATAATGAATGTAATATATCAATTGAAATGCAAGTTCAGTATCAATACCAGTGAATTTTTTTTCTCCAGTGTATGTATTTATAAGTGAGTGCTTGTTGAGCTTGTTTGCTTGTGCTGGTCAAGAGGAAGTTTTCAATCAAGTCACATATGTCGTCTTAATAGGCTTGTTTAAGCCATTTATTTAGCATTAGTTTTTGGTTTACCCGTGCTAAAGTAAAAAGTGTAAATCTTTTGCAAGTCAAACCAATTTTTTAAAATATGACATGTTTAAGATTAAATTGTTTAGTTGTTTTTTTTTTTAAATTAAAAGATAAATTGACATAAGTTGTTGGACTGTAAACTTATTGAAAACAAAACAACTAGTAAGTTTATGCCCTGAATTTTACAGCTAGATCTATTGAAGTAAATGAATCACTTCCAAAAACTAGCCAGGAGAATCAGGTTGTATAAGATTAAGAAACTGAAACCATTGCACCAAGTAATAAATCCACACCTGCATCAAGCACGCTTGTACTACTAGCACCTTTATACATTTGGTTGCTTCTCTGTTTAGATGTATCCTTGTCTCACAATCAGTTGCTTACAAAAAAAAATCTGTTGTATTTTTTTTTCAATATTCCAGAACTTGTTACTGTAAATACCTTGTAAATAACAAACTATATTGAAAACTATTACTATACATCCAGTTTTGTAAATAGCTTGTACATTTGATATGCAGGTGTATATTTGGCAGTCGTGTTCATCTCTGTGTGTGTGTGCGTGTAATCTTTCTCAGCATGGTTTGTGTGTTGGTTTATTTTCTACCCTCTGTTAGTAACAAAGTTACAATGTGTTGTACAATACTGAGTGACTGGAGACAGATTTTTTTTACTGCGTATAAATACATTACGAACATACTACGTAGTTTTTGTTTTCTTCAACAAGTTACTCTTTGCCTTCCTGTTCTGTTATTTTGCTTTGCTATTTACCTTGTACACCATTAACTATAATCATAAACAGAACCCATGCCATGGAATATAAATTTAGTTTGTCTAGCATGATTTTTGAGCAAATTGACTAGTTGGTTGTTTTTTTTCATTATTAGCTTAAGCCAAACTTTAGCTGGATGACCTTTAGTGATGGTGTTATTAAAAACTTGGAATTTTACTTTGGACAAGAGAAATTAAAATCCTATAAAATAGCATCAGTCTGGAAGGGCGAGGGGGTTAAACTGCAAACAATGCAATATTTTGATGTTGTGGTCAAATTTTTAAGTCGTCGATAATTTTAACAAAGTTGACACTACTTTTTGTTGTGATATAAGGTAACGACAGCATGTTTGAAATCGGACCATTGTAAAATTATGTAATTTGTTTTTTTTTTATAGAATGATGTAATTTGGTCTTTGCAGAGTGATGTAAGTTTGTCATTGAGAATTATGTAATTTGTTCATTGCAAAATGTATTTCGGTTGTATCATCAATAAGCATCACCTAAGATAAACACTTTGTAAGTGGAAAGTTTAAGGTCATGTTCTTGGCTTGCTTGGTAAGTCAAGAGCAGTGTGTAGCACCCATACTATTTTTTTATGTGTAGCAATTTTTATATATTGTTAAACATGTGATGCCTTAGTATGTCAGTGCATGGTTAGTATGGAGAAAACATTTTTACCTTTGAATATTCCCTACTTTTGGGAAGCTGCTATAACTTATTTAAGCTCTTACTTGGAAAATTGCTGTATCAACCTAACCTAATTGCTTTTAATGACATTTTTATAGTTTTTAATCTGGATTAATTTTTTTATAATTTTCATTTATAAATTTAAACTTTAATCTTGATATTATATTTAATTTGAGAAACGAATTTAAAAGTATTTACGTGGTTCTGTCCCCTTGCATAAGGTTCTGTCCCTTTATTTGATGAATGGACAGCTAGGTTTGTGAGTGTGGTGAATTCAGCTTCCCCTTCTAACAGAATGCTGTGAAGTCATGTTGACTCTGTGATCTTGTTTATGTATAATTTTAACAATTTTTACAGCAGTATTGTCAACAAAATGGTTGAAAAATTGTACATGTGGGGGTAGATAAAACTAAAACTCTTTCTCTACTTCATACTTGTAAGACTTCCCCCACTTTTAACCTTGTCCTCGACAAGTTTGTCAACATCACTGAGATGTTCTACACAGGTTGTAGTGTGTGTCAGTTAATTATGTAAAAAGCCTCTTCACCTTTGCTACTCGATTTTCTTTTTTAGACTGAAACATAATCAAATGGTTATTTTAAAAAGACCAGTAGAAATATATACTTAATTTTTATTACATTTTGTATTTGAAATAATTTCATCAACAGAAAATAAATATAATAACCAATCAATACAATAAATTAAAAATAAAATTCACTGAAGTTATGAACTATAACATAATTTATAAAACACTGTATTCCTATGTATTATGTAGCCTTGCACATGGGACTTCTCCTTGTGTAGAATCACACTTTGTACATTTTCTCCAAAACATTTTAACTACCCAAGTTATGGTTGTAGAAATATCTAACCTAATGATCTTAATATATATATAAAAATTTTACCAAAGAAGTTGTTTTTAAGACATGTTTATGAATCTAGAATGAAGAGAAAGTGTTAAAGCTATAGAATCATTATCAGTACAGGCAGAGCCATTGAGACTATTCAAGTTGTAGATATACTAAATCCAAACTATTTAACCTGACACAGCTATATATATATATATATATATATATATATATATATATATATATATATATATATATATATATATATATATATACTTTTAAACCCTGAGGACAAATAAATGTTCATGTACAAAATGCTTGAGTCATTTCTAACACTAATTTTAAAATCTTCACTGTTGGTTTGTTGTAAACCTGTTTTGTTTTTTTTTTACATGGCCATTTTTAACTTGATTTTTTTTTTAAAAGGCTGAACATACATGGCTTAAGGTAGTGGCTTTCTTCTGTATGTTCTCTCCGGGTTGTTCTTGTTTACCCAACCTGAATTACATGTCTAGGTACAAGTAAATACTCTTTTTGCTAATTTTACAAAGAGTATTTTTTTTTTTAATGAATAGGGCAAATACATTTCATGATTGTCAGTGTTCTATCCATTTGATGTGTGAATGTAATTTTTGTTGCCTGATACAGGTGAGGTTAGATGTGACCAATTAATGTAGTGTATATATGGTGAATCAAGACAATGGAGAATAAATTCTATTATCATCAATTGATAGGTTTTGTTTGGAGTTGATTTTGTATGTACTTTTTGTTCAAGCGTTGTTATGTGCGACTTTTTAAATATTAATTTTGTTGCTTGCTGAATAATAGTAGATGTAATGGAGGCGAGCGAGTTGACGAGATTCCATCCATAATATTGTTGACATGGAATAAAAACGTGCTTTTTAGATTTAGACCGTAAAAAAAAATAAAAAAATAAAAACTTAAGCCTAAAATTAATTTAGAAATTTTATATTTTTAGAATAAATGCTATAAAAGTTGCAAATCCAGAGAACTTGAAAATAATTTGTTGAGTTTAAGGCTACATTTCTATTTATTTTCATCCAGCCTAAGTTAAAACCGGATGTTTCACTTTCGTAAGACAAATATTGATTGGCTGTACAGTAACTTAGTGATCGATAACTATTTGTTTACAAAACTTTGCAGATCAAGTTTTTAAATAACTATGCAAATTAAAAACCCCATGACATAGTTTTCTATTTTTAGCTTACAATGTGTACAATAAAATCAATGGCGGCCTATCCAATAGCAGGATGCCATTGTTTATGTCTCCATTACACGTGAAAACCAAATTGTTTTGGCTTGTTTTTAAATTTTCAATTAGTTACCGAAAATTTTTAAAACATCAAATAGACCCAATCTTTAGTAAAGTCCGAAATAAACCAGACAGACAGGATTTTATAACCATATTAATTGTAACTACGCCGTGTCTGATTTTTAAACTAATTTATACACCTCTCAAATACCTTTGAGAGTTTTCTCGCTCGTGTCCATTATATTTGTTACCCTTTCACCAGTTTCGAATTCCTCAGCTAAAAAGGAAGAGTGGTCAGTTTTATGCACCCTTTCTAACTTCTCACGAGTCAGGTACTCATTAGAGCTGGTTGCACTCGGGGGACATTCTACATAATCAAGCCTAAGGTCTGAACTCGAGACTTTCAGGTTAGCAGTTGTACAGTCTACTATTAGACCAAGGGGTCTGTGTAGCTTTTGTAATTGTGTGGTAACTTAATTGTGTGGGACATCAGATAAATACATTGTGAAGTATCACATGTATTTTGACCAGATCTGCTGAAGTGTTGTTTTTTTTCTCTGGTAGCAGGTGAAAGGATAGTGTGGCCAGTACCATGCCCAGGAGGTTTTACTTTCTCTCTAATTGTCAGAGTTGGGTAGAGTCAGAGACTTCTGTCTTAGCAATCATGCTGTTTACTTCAGGACTATTCCACAGATAAGTTATTATAGTGATTATTATGGATAAGTATGACTTGTACTTGTATGTATTTGCAATTTGATCTAGAATATCCTTCTCCTTCTTAATCCCGTTCGTGCCCAAGACACCTGGGGCAAATGAAGTCGAGTTCATCTGATTCATTGAAGGGATATTGTGGTTCGCACTATAGCAAGCGGCCTTTGTTTCCCTAAGGTAAGTTAGGTACCCATCAGAGCTGGGTAAACTCTAGGTTGTTCCACTAATTTAAACCAGGATTCTAACTCGAGACTCTCGGATTTACAGTCAAGCTCTCTACTGCTAGTTCACGTCATCCTTTATCTAAAATACACAGATTGCTGGTAACGTTTGAAATCCAGAAAAAATTTCTCAACACTGGATGTTGGACATTTAACTTCAATTTGAAATGGGTAGAGCAATAGTTCTTACCCTGGTTTTGATGGAACCTCAAGGGTTTGGTGAGTCAGTACAAGGGGTTCGGCACAGGTCAAGACACACCCGACTCATTCACGATTGGATTTAGTCAGTGCTGGAGACAAAACTATTAAGAAGGGTTTGATTAATTCGCTTATGAAACTGGTGGGGGTTAGGTGCAGTAGCGTAGCGAGGGGGGGCGGGGGGGGGACATGTCCCCGGGCGCCGAGCTTAGGGGGCGCCAAAATGGGTTGGAAAAATAAATTGAAATGTTGAGGGGGGTGCAAATTGAAAGTTTGAGGGGGGGGGGGGGGGGGGGGTGCAAATCGAAATCTCGAGGGGGGGGGTGCAAATCGAAAAATTTGTCCCCGGGTGCCGGGAAGGGTCGCTACGCCTCTGGTTAGGTGTCTCCTAAAAGGCTATGAACCACTGTGGTAGAGCGATTAAAAGCTGACATCTGTGTCTGAAGTCAATGGGATGTGCTGGAATGCACCTACCTCTAGAAGAAGCAAGTGAAAGATGAACATTATGTTAGCTTTGTGATCCCTATAAATAAAGTGTTTATTGATTGAAAACATATATTAATAAGCTATACTCATTTTCATATTCTTATTAAAAACAAAAAAGACAGAAAAAACACTGGAATATTTTATTTCCACATCATTGGCATTCATGTAATAAAGTCACTAGGCAAAATATAATATATATATATATATATATATATTTAAAAATAATCAAGTTTATTATTTTAGCACATTTTTTCTAACTTGCTTTAGACAAGCTTTCTTATAATCACAGTAGAAGGAAAAATAGTAACTTTAGTTTAATACAGGAATTTATCCAATCACTAAAAATCTTTTATGTATACCCAATAGTAGTTTTTAAAAACAAAAGAGCAGATAGTAGCTTTACTTCTAAAAAATAGAAATGAACAACTATTTTTGTACAATTCAAGGAGGCTATTCATTTATTCAGATCCACAAAGATAAAGGCACACGGAGTTCTCTCTCATGCACTCTATAAAGACAGCCAACCAGACAAATTTTTTAAAAGGCTGCCCCCAAAAGAATGATTCTCAACTTTCTCATAAATGCAATTCTTCTTTGACTACTTTGAGTAAATTTCATTTTAAAAAAAAGACCATTAAATTATTGTCTAATTATATATGTACATAGACCAAAACAAGACAATATGCACAGTATATAATATTATATAATAGTATAAACTATATCCACAATACATTGTTTTTTACATTTATATTACTTCACAGCTTAAGTACAATATATTATAAAAGATGTAAACTGAATTCATTGAAATGAATTAGAAAATGAAAAATGTACACATTTAGATACACATTACAAATTACTTTAATCTTCATATTTTTTAGTATTAGGGTTAATTAAAATATTTTTTTCAAGTCCAATTTTAAAATTAAATTAAAACTTTTTCTTTTAGTTAAAAAGTGTAGACCTAAATGTTACAATAGGGAATGTCTTTTAAAAATCTATCACCATTATTTACATCACATCTAATGTACAGAGTATTGATAGAACTTAATGATATATACTTCAAATGAATTGATGTATCTTAATGTGTAGGTGATAAAATAAATAAAATATAATATACATAATTATAGCTTTTTTTAATTCATATTATGTGATAAAATTATTTATTTAAAAATAATAAGTTCAAAGCTTTAAAGTTTACAAATTATTTAAGCTATAACGATTAAAATATGTATACAATATTTACAAACAATACAACTTCACATTTGCATTTCATTATGTACCAAATGTCAATTAATTAAATTCATTTATATCAATAAAACAATTCTTTCACACAATTATAAATTGAAATAAATATTTGTGCTGCAAACAGCAAGAATATTATATATTTTATATTACATAGAAACCTAGTTTTCTAATTTTCTTTTTAGCAATTAAACGCACCTTAGTTTCAAGCCTTTAGTTGGCCAAAATCTTTTTAGCAAAATTTTAATAAAACGGGCAAATAACATCTTTAACAAGTTGTTGAATAGAAAATCATACAGGTGTAATTTCACATCAAAAATGACATTTCTTTTATTTTACGAGAAAATTTGCCTAATTTGTAGTCAGCAGTTACACAATGTGAAAATATTGTGCTCTTCCTAGGCAGTTGTTGAAGGACATTGGAGCTGTATGCTGAGGCCTGGATAATTTCAACTGTTATCATTAGAATACCAGAGTCTGGCTTATTGTTAGTAATAGGTTTAGGTATTACTTTACTTAAGAATCAACATTGGTTACATTGGCCTCTTAGTACTACTCCATGTCAATAAAATATTCTTTAGTAATAATGCTTAGATTGCTATTTTGATTACTAGCATCTTAAGGTAGAATTAATCTAAATCCAATTGATAAATGGTTCAAAGGCAAATTTTTTATAACTCACCCTAGTAAATATAAGCTTTTGGACTTAACATTGAAAACTATTTTGATTACTAGCATCTTTAGGTAAAATTAATCTAAATCCAATTGATAAATGGTTCAAAGGTAAATTTTTGTATAACTCACCCTAGTAAATATAAGCTTTTGGACTTAACATTGAAAATTGTGAAAATTTACAGAAGACAAAAAGCCCCCATATAAAAACCTCTATTGTAAATGCAATTATTTTAAAAATACGGTTGTGTTGGGCATGACGATGCTAAACTTTACTATAATAATACAGCAATGGTAAACTATATTATTTCAGTTTCAATAATATCAAATGGTTTTTTAATCAGTTAATTCACATTATCAAATCACAGATTTTCCTATGCTAAATTCATTTAATATTTTTAATATATGTCCATTTCAGGGGTATGAAAGATCCATATTTTTATGTGTTAATATATTATATAGTACAGTACATAGGTTGAGTTCCATAAATGGCATCATTCATCATACAATTTTAGCAGATTATTTTCCCAGTCTCAACCCCCCCCCCCCCCCCCAAAAAAAAATTTGCATGTCAACAAATTTTAAATTTTTCTTAATATTTAATAATCAGATAATGTAGCCTATGTTACATCATATTTTCTGAAGTAATGTCCCACCTACTCTTGTAGCACATCACTATATTTTTATAATCTAATTATTTAGTATAGTTAGATTTGGGACCCCCCCCCCCCCCCCCACCCCAACACAGTAACAATCATTTTATTTTAGCAAATAAAATATTAAAATGTATTGTAAATTTTTTTAAAGGGCCTGTCAGATAGGCCTATCAATTGTAAAAGTAAGCAACCGCTTTAAATTCACAACAGAGGGCTGGTATAGATATATAAACATTTTCATTCTTTAAAAAAAACGGGCGCCAATATTCAACAGGGGCTGGTCAGTAGTGCTGTGCTACCCTGTCCTGCGCTGTTTGTACTACTACTGCAGCCACTGTCCGATAGAGCATCAGAGGCAGAGAGAAGAGTTATCTCGCTTCGTCTAGGTGGCGCTGTGTGACAACCGCGGTATAATGGATTGGAAAATGCGATGTCGGTGTCGTTTGGAAATGCCCTGGGCAAAAAATTAGGTTAAAATTGAATTTTAAAAAATACTTGATTAAACAGAAGGTAGCAAAAACATTAAAAATATAATTGTGTAATGTAGTTTACGTAACTAAAATCGGCTAGAGGTAATTAATATTTTGAAAAGTAAGTTTTACCGTATTGAGTCAAAATCATCTTCATAGCTCTTTGGCTCTAAGCTGAAATTTAGATAAAATAAAAATATTTATTCCTTTCTCTTTACACAACATGAAAGTATGTATATGGGAGAAATGGGCATATGGAGGGGGTGAGTTCAACTTCTATGAAGCCCCTCGGAGGTGGAGATTTAGTTGTTTACCATAAAATTAGAGCCAGTTTCATTAGCAGAAAACAAATTAACAACAATCTGTAATTGATTTATAATTTAATCCAGTTGCTTTTAGTCCACCGTGATCAAATCCTGTCCACGCTGAGGCGTAGCAACGTGGTGGGGGGGGGGGGGGTACATATGTCCCCGGGCGCCGACTCTAGGGCCGCCAAAAATGGGTTGGAAACAATAATTAAAAGCTCATTTTAGCTGCAGTTTTGAATTAAAAATATAAAAAATATATGAGGTGGGGGGGCACCAAATTGAAAGTTAACGTTACGTTTGCCTGTCGTCCCTACTGGGACGTTTGTCCCACGCATGTAATCTAATCAAAGAAAACTGTCGTAGACGTCCTCACCTTTCGTGTATTTCCTCCAGCGTGTCCTCCTTTGAGTATCTCTCCTTCTCATACAGCGACAGACTCTCCTCCCTATTATATGTATACTTCTCCACAGCCTTACGTTTCTCAATTCTGTTTCTATAGCAACCAAAAAAAATGTAGGATTAGAGTTATGTTTTTGGATCCAAGCGCAGAAAAGCTTGGATTAGAGTTAACTTCTAGAATACGAATCCTAAAGTAAGCCGAAAAGCTAAGATTTGAGTTACGTTTTTGGATTCTTATCCTATAGCTAGAGTAGAAAAGCTAAGATTAGAGTTAGGCTTTTTTTATATCCTAATCCTATAGTAAGCAGATAAGTTAGGATTAGTTAGAGTCCCAGCTCTAGCTAGTAAAAACCTAGGCCTAACATGACAAGTAGTTAAAGTTGGAGCCAGAATCAAAGAGAGCGTGTTGGAAATTTTAACACGATTTAGAATACGGTTTTAAACAGACTGGTCAAAAGTGATGGATAGGATTGTATTCGTAGCTATCCCGACAAGCAGTAAATGGTGGTAGATCTAGTAGAAGTAATATCATAGCCAACTTAACGAAAAGAAGTAGTGTTGGAATCAGCGATATAGCAAGACAGATGTGAGTGAATTATAGGACAGGGCGCTCCAAACACCCACATATTATGCCTGCTGACAATGACTAGCACCCACTTTCCTACAGACAATGACTAGCACCCACTTTCCTACAGACAATGACTAGCACCCACTTTCCTACAGACAATGACTAGCACCCACTTTCCTACAGACAATGACTAGCACCCACTTTCCTACAGACAATGACTAGCACCCACATTCCTACAGACAATGACTAGCACCCACTTTCCTACAGACAATGACTAGCACCCACTTTCCTACAGACAATGACTAGCACCCACATTCCTACAGACAATGACTAGCACCCACTTTCCTACAGACAATGACTAGCACCCACATTCCTACAGACAACGACTAGCACCCACTTTCCTACAGACAATGACTAGCACCCACTTTCCTACAGACAATGACTAGCACCCACTTTCCTACAGACAATGACTAGCACCCACTTTCCTACAGACAATGACTAGCACCCACTTTCCTACAGACAATGACTAGCACCCACTTTCCTACAGACAATGACTAGCACCCACTTTCCTGCAGACAATGACTAGCACCCACCTGCCTGCAGACAATGACTAGCACCCACCTGCCTGCAGACAATGACGAGCACCCACCTGTTGTGCCTGCAGACAATGACTAGCACCCACCTGTTGTGCCTGCAGACAATGACTAGCACCCACCTGTTGTGCCTGCAGACAATGAATAGCACCAACCTGCCTGCAGACAACGACTAGCGGCGACTGCCTGCAGACAATGACTAGCACCCACCTGCCTGCAGACAATGACTAGCACCCACCTGCCTGCAGACAATGACTAGCACCCACGTGTTGTGCCTGCAGACAATGACTAGCACCCACCTGCCTGCAGACAATGACTAGCACCCACGTGTTGTGCCTGCAGACAATGACTAGCACCCACCTGCCTGCAGACAATGACTAGCACCCACCTGTTGTGCCTGCAGACAATGACTAGCACCAACCTGCCTGCAGACAATGACTAGCACCCACCTGTTTTGCCTGCAGACAATGACTAACACCCACCTGTTTTGCCTGCAGACAACGACTAGCACCCACCTGTTGTGCCTGCAGACAACGACTAGCACCCACCTGTTGTGCCTGCAGACAACGACTAGCACCCACCTGCCTGCAGACAAAGACTATCACTCACCTGCATGTAGACAACGACTAGCACCCACCTGTTGTGCCTGCAGACAACGACTAGCACCCACCTGTTGTGCCTGCAGACAACGACTAGCACCCACCTGCCTGCAGACAAAGACTATCACTCACCTGCATGTAGACAAAGACTAGCACCCACCTGCCTGTAGACAAAGACTAGCACCCACCTATTGTGCCTGCAGATGACGACTAGCACCCACCTATTGTGCCTGCAGATGACGACTAGCACCCACCTGTTGTGCCTGCAGATAACGACTAGCACCCACCTGTTGTGCCTGCAGATAACGACTAGCACCCACCTGTTGTGCCTGCAGATAACGACTAGCACCCACCTGTTGTGCCTGCAGATAACGACTAGCACCCACCTGTTGTGCCTGCAAACAATGACTAGCACCCACCTGTTGTGCCTGCAGACAATGACTAGCACCCACCTGTTGTGCCTGCAGACAATGACTAGCACCCACCTGTTGTGCCTGCAGACAATGACTAGCACCCACCTGTTGTGCCTGCAGACAATGACTAGCACCCACCTGTTGTGCCTGCAGACAATGACTAGCACCCACCTGTTGTGCCTGCAGACAATGACTAGCACCCACCTGTTGTGCCTGCAGACAATGACTAGCACCCACCTGTTGTGCCTGCAGACAATGACTAGCACCCACCTGTTGTGCCTGCAGACAATGACTAGCACCCACCTGTTGTGCCTGCAGACAATGACTAGCACCCACCTGTTGTGCCTGCAGACAATGACTAGCACCCACCTGTTGTGCCTGCAGACAATGACTAGCACCCACCTGTTATGCCTGCAGACGATGACTAGCACCAGTGTGAGGACCACTGTAAGCACCAGCAGGCTGACGAGGACGATCCAGAGGATGGTGATGTAGGCGTCGGTGGTGAAGTAGTTGCCGTCCACGGTCCGTTGTTTGGGCTGGGGGGCGAACTCCCCACCTACAATACCTGAGATAGATGGGAATGTCAAGGTGAGTAGTTAGAAGGGAATAATAGGGTGAGTAGAGTTAGAAGGGAATGGTAGGGTGAGTAGAGTTAGAAGGGAATGGTAGGGTGAGTAGAGTTAGAAGGGAATGGTAGGGTGAGTAGAGTTAGAAGGGAATGGTAGGGTGAGTACTTAGAAGGGAATGGTAGGGTGAGTAGAGTTAGAAGGGAATTGTAGGGTGAGTAGAGTTAGAAGGGAATGGTAAGGTGAGTAGAGTTAGAAGGGAATGGTAGGGTGAGTAGAGTTAGAAGGGAATGGTAGGGTGAGTAGAGTTAGAAGGGAATGGTAGGGTGAGTAGAGTTAGAAGGGAATGGTAGGGTGAGTACTTAGAAGGGAATGGTAGGGTGAATAGTTAGAAGGGAATGGTAGGGTGAGTAGAGTTAGAAGGGAATGGTAGGGTGAGTAGAGTTAGAAGGGAATGGTAGGGTGAGTAGAGTTAGAAGGGAATGGTAGGGTGAGTAGAGTTAGAAGGGAATGGTAGGGTGAGTACTTAGAAGGGAATGGTAGGGTGAATAGTTAGAAGGGAATGGTAGGGTGAGTAGAGTTAGAAGGGAATGGTAGGGTGAGTAGAGTTAGAAGGGAATGGTAGGGTGAGTAGAGTTAGAAGGGAATGGTAGGGTGAGTAGAGTTAGAAGGGAATGGTAGGGTGAGTAGAGTTAGAAGGGAATGGTAGGGTGAGTAGAGTTAGAAGGGAATGGTAGGATGAGTAGTTAGAAGGGAATGGTAGGATGAGTAGTTAGAAGGGAATGGTAGGGTGAGTAGAGTTAGAAGGGAATGGTAGGATGAGTAGTTAGAAGGGAATGGTAGGATGAGTAGTTAGAAGGGAATGGTAGGGTGAGTAGAGTTAGAAGGGAATGGTAGGGTGAGTAGAGTTAGAAGGGAATGGTAGGGTGAGTAGAGTTAGAAGGGAATGGTAGGGTGAGTAGAGTTAGAAGGGAATGGTAGGATGAGTAGTTAGAAGGGAATGGTAGGATGAGTAGTTAGAAGGGAATGGTAGGGTGAGTAGAGTTAGAAGGGAATGGTAGGATGAGTAGTTAGAAGGGAATGGTAGGATGAGTAGTTAGAAGGGAATGGTAGGGTGAGTAGAGTTAGAAGGGAATGGTAGGGTGAGTAGAGTTAGAAGGGAATGGTAGGGTGAGTAGAGTTAGAAGGGAATGGTAGGGTGAGTAGAGTTAGAAGGGAATGGTAGGGTGAGTAGAGTTAGAAGGGAATGGTAGGGTGAATAGAGTTAGAAGGGAATGGTAGGGTGAGTAGAGTTAAAGGGGAATGGTAGGGTGAGTAGAGTTAGAAGGGAATGGTAGGGTGAGTAGAGTTAGATGGGAATGTCAGGGAAGGTAGAGTTAGCTAGGAATTGCAGGGTAAGTGGAGTATAAGAGAAATGCAGAGTAAGCAATTTCCCTAGCGTATATTGTGGCATTCCCCCTTTTATTGCTTTTATACATATAAAACAAAGTGACATTTAGCCCATCCTCAAGTATAACATATAGTCTTGTCTGTTTTAAAATCCGAAAATTGATTTGAACGACTTCAAGAACTGTATTCCAAAGCCACTCTTACGAGGCCGATGTTTTTCATTAAAGGTAAACATTACACAGAAAACCAACTCACCAAATTTCAAATCTTTAGTATCCCACGTGATGTTGACTTCCGCTTCCGGAAATTTGAGCTGAGGCTCGATAAAGTTGGCGCCTAAACGATCCAGACGTTCGTCGTCGCTGTGGTCAAGGAAGACGGGGGGAGGGGTCGTGGTGGAGGGCGTGGCTTCCTTGGCGGGAAATATGAAGTCGTAGCTGGCGTGGAACCCGGTCCGCTGGACGTAGCTGTCCGTCTTGAAGGTGACGTAGAGGGTGTTTCCGGAGGAGAGCAGAGGAGCAGGCGCCTCATGGGAGCAGAACCTGATTGGTGGTGGATTAGTTAGAACTTAGTTTTTGAAAGATAGTGCTTTAAAACTATGAAGCAAGCACACGCTCCTAGTTGTTGTTTTCTGTGTATAAGGTCTCTGCAGTTTGCAAATTTACGTCTTGGTGTCAGCCCCCCCTCCCCCACCAGAGTTTCTTCCAGGCATCTCTTCATCGCGCCCCCCCCCCCCCCCCCCCACCGAACGAAATGGAATTTACATAGAAAATATATACTTTTGACAGTGTCCGCCCCCCGGAAATAGTTGTCCGCCCCCCCCCCCCCCACCGAAAATTTCAAGTGCACCCCCGGAGAAAAAAGTCTGGAAGAAACACTGTCCCCCGTCCCCCCCGGTGTGATTGTCAATTTGTACATAAAATACTTTTTAACAATTTACTGAAATGTGAAAAAAACACATTTTTTCTATATATCTTGCAATTTTGTTGTCTTGGTGTCACCTTCCCCAAAATGGTGTCACCACCCAAAATGGTGTCACCCCCCAAAATGGTGTCACCCGGAGCGGTCCGCATTCCCCGATCCCGCCTCGCTACGGCTCTGGGTAAACCTACTTCAAGAGATCAAAGTGTTTCAGAGATTTTTCTCCGGGGTGGGGAGGAGGGAGGGGGGGGGGGCAAGGACAGACACTAGAGTAACCCAATCTCGACTTAACAGGCAAACAAACAACCTAACTCGTGTTCTGTTACCTGGCCAGTCGAACATCGGACACGGAGGATCCGTCGTTGACCTCTATGACGTCATGTTTGTCGGTGCAGCCCCCGTACGCCTGGCTGTCTAGATCAATGGTGGTGAACTTGAGAGTTATCTTCGCTTGCTCCGGGGCCTAGTGGTGAAAGAAATTCGGTCAAGGTAGGATATTTTTAGTAACAGTTTGATGCGGGCAGTAGGATAAACCTAGAAGCTAGATCTCCAAATAGACTCAAGTTTAAAAAAAAAAAAAAAAAAAACATAATTAAAACCCGATCTCGTCATAACTAAGAGTTATAAGAACACAGTTTTCAAAGAAAATGAATAAAAAATACAATGCTTAGTCTTTCAAAATATGTAGAACCAAAACAATATAATACGTTTTCAACGATATTAACGATAACGATAAAAAGTACAATAGGTCCATGTTTTTTGTGTGTATCAGTTACCCGTTAAGTAAATAATTAATTTAATTAAAGACGTGGCGTAGAGGTAGAGCGCTAGATTCTAACCCGAAAATCTCGAGTTCGAATCCGGGTTCAAGTCAGTTGAACGTCCTTAAGTCCACCCAACTCTGATGGGTACCTAACTCATTTAGAGAAAGTAAAGGCGGTTGGGCATAGTGCTGACCACACTATCCCTTCATATGCCGAGGTAACAAAAACAACTCTACTCCACTAACCTCATGGACCGTCATGTTCGAAAAGAGAACTTTACATTTACATGATGCAAATACAATAATTTCAAGGTGATACAATACGGAATTTGAAATGGATCATCTATAACCTATTTAATACAAGTATTTTTGGCCTTGCGGCTATCTCTGCTGATTTGCGGTTGTCATAGCAACAACCAGTTTGATGGACATTTAAAATAAAAAAAAAACATAATATTTATTCTGGTGAGAAAAAACTAATTTGTATCCAAATAATCAAGCCCTAACCGCTCGTCCGTTTCCCTTCAGCCTACCCGGCATGCCAATTCGGATTGAAAATTTGTCAAATCCTGGCATGCGGATATTAATCAAAAATGGCAGCTCACATACACCCGCGACATGCGCACTAATCCCGGGGATGTTTCGCCTCACCGCCGCGCCAGAATCGATCGTCGGAAACGGTTAAAACCAGAGGCAACGGTTCTAGCAGTAGCGTAGCGAGGGGGGCGGGGGACGGGACATATGTCCCAGGGCGCCGACCTTAGGGGGCGCCAAATGGGTTGGAAAAATAAATTGAAAGGTTGAGGGGGGTGCAAATCGAAATCTTGAGGGGGGTGCAAATCGAAAGTTTGAGGAGGGGGGGTGCAAATCGAAATCTTGAGGGTGGGGTGTGCAAATCGAAAAGTTTGTCCGTGGTCGCCGGGAAGGGTCGCTACGCCTCTGGGTTCTAGGGTTGAGGTCTATGCCCCCCCCCCCCTCCACACACACCCAACTTTGGAAAATCTTAAGCTTAGCTTTTGTTTTTTTTAAAAATCAAATGCTAGATCTACTTATTTGAACATATCACTGCGTACTAACACTTTATTTTTGTTACTAAAGCATCGGTGGTAATCTCCAACCTTAAACTAAAGCAAACCATTGATTCTTAGAAATCTTGTAGGTCTACATACCATCATGTCAATTTTAAGGTAATGATCATTATGTTGACATGTACCAAAAAGGTATTTTTGTACATTTTACATTTACTTATTAAAATTTAAAGCAGGAGCTGAAAAATAATTAACAAATTTAACGTTTTAATTATCATTGTTATAAAATTAGTTTATTCAGAGGACTTGAAAATACTTGCGTTTGCCTTTAGGTTAAATTTCTTTTTACACTAAAAAAAAAACCGTCAATTTAAACACAATTTCAGTTTACTAAAACACAATTTAAGTGAGTATTTTTAAATCTCAATGTTAGATTGACCATTCTGGGTCATCCATAAATGACGTCACACTCGTAGGGGGGAGGTCCGTAATTTTGTGACGATGTGGGGGGAGGGGGTTCAGATGTTGCGACGTCACATTTTTGCATTTAAAAAAAGCAATGTTAGAAAACGAATTTTAGACTTTATTTCGCGTTTTAGATAACTGTTTTAATAAATTGTAATAGTTTAGACAAGATTTTGGAAACATAACGATGTTTAAAAAAAATTCAACTGCAATTTTGAGGGGGGGGGGGGGGGTTGTAGGTTTAGGTGTGACGTCATTTTAGGGGGGGGGAGGTCTGGCTTTTTGTGACGACGTGTGACGGAGGGGAAGGGGGAGGTAAAAATCGTCAAAAAAAAAAGCGTGACGTCATTTATGGATGACCCCTCTCTCTTCCGGTGTAAGAATTTTTTTTACGAAATGACTACTCGGAGCAAACTGCAAACCGCCAAGCCTCTCCCAGGCCCTAGGCTAGGCGGAGGAAATATATATGACGTAATAGTTTATAGTGATAACTTCACTATACGCTTGCTAAGACGAGATCTAGTAGTGACGAGAAATAAAATCTTATTTCGGTACCGAAAATTGTTTGTGCTACATTAGCGACATCTGTTTCTTTATTTTGCTACACATAAGACATAAGCATGTTAATATCTGCGTTTTCAATGTTCCGGATTTTAAATTCAGAAAAGAAAAAAAGCAGAATGTAAACATACATCTGCACATGGTAATTAAATTCGCTGTATTGTGCTCAAATATTAAACGATCATGCTGTGCCCATAGACATTAAAGTACTTGTCGCCATGGTTACAATTGTAAACAAATCTAATGATGAAGCGCGGAAGCCTTTTCTGTACACGATAAACCCTCTTTGAAACTTGTGCCCGTGTAACGTGAAAATGTAATAAACTACCGGCTCAATAGTTCAGTCTGTGGTGAAAAAAATTGTACACTTTTTATATAGCAAATAGAAATTAATTAAAAATGTCTGCTTGATTATATAAAATATTATTTGTTTTCTTTCTTTTTGCTAAGACTTGTTTTAATTATCGAAATTTCAAATTTAAATTGATTCAGAATCACTTGTTGGTAATATATAATATTATCATTTGCTCTGGGAAACGGCATTCGGTCTTTCGGGAATTTGTCGCATGCCCATTTAAGGGAGACAATTTATACATCATTTCCTAAAATTGACAAAATGCCATACTTTAATATCCAAAATAACAATTTCCTAAATTTTTAATAAAAAAATAGCCAGAAAAATATCTTTTGTATAATTTTATCTATTATAATACAATAATTATGTTCATATAGAATATTTACTTAAGTATAACATTACATAAACACTAACTGCCTTGAACATCAATTTTATTAAGTATTGCGAATTCACCACATTATTCGAAATTGGGTAGGCAATAATAGTGTTTGTTTTAATTTTTACTTGTTCGTATATACGAAGTATAGAGAAAGTCTTGTAATCGTGCCTAAAAAAAAAATCGAGATTTTTACAAATCTCAAATCTCGAGAAAGTTTAGGGGAGATCACTCCCGATTTATTTTTAAAATACTAGTGTATTATGTATTTAAACACAAAATCGTGTATTATACGCCAAACATCTTGAGAGTGAAAAAAAAAATAGCTATCAGTATAAGTGTTAATCTACAAGTGTTCTCACATATCGAATGATGAGGATAGTAATGCAATAGCGGAAGACTTCGGGACAAAGATAATAAATGTTATTACATGCTTGAGGCATATAAAAATGTATAAGTAAAAATACTAGGTAGTGGAGAATACAAGGCAGAGCGCCCCCTCCCCCACCATGCACCCCCTAGATTCGCCAATGACTACACCACACACCTGTATGGTCCAGGCACAGTTGAGCACAGGTAGAGCGTCCCCCCCCCACCCTGCACCCCCTAGATTCGCCAATGACTACACCACACACCTGTATGGTCCAGGCACAGTTGAGCACAGATAGAGCGCCCCCCCACCATGCACCCCCTAGATTCGCCAATAATAACGTCACTTACCTGTATGGTCCAGGCACAGTTGAGCCCAGGAGAGTACTGTTCAGGCCACTGGGGTGAGGCGATCTCCCCGCGGTCAGACTTGAGCAGAGCCCGGCACGGCCAGTCTGGGGAGAGGCAACATAACGCTTTAGTCACTGGTCAAATATAGGCATGGCTATTGGCCAGTCTTTAGTCACTGGTCAAATATAGGCATGGCTATTGGCCAGTCTTTAGTCACTGGTCAAATATAGGCATGGCTATTGGCCAGTCTAGGGAGAGGCAACATAACGCTTTAGTCACTGGTCAAATATAGGCATGGCTATTGGCCAGTGTGGGGAGAGACAACATAACGCTTTAGTCACTGGTCAAATATAGGCATGGCTATTGGCCAGTCTAGGGAGAGGCAACATAACGCTTTAGTCACTGGTCAAGTATAGGCATGGCTATTGGCCAGTCTGGGGAGAGGCAACATAACGCTTTAATCACTGGTCAAGTATAGGCATGGCTATTGGCCAGTCTAGGGAGAGGCAACATAACGCTTTAGTCACTGGTCAAATATAAGCATGGCTATTGGCGATGGTTTTTTTTAGACATCTCATACAGTGGGGGGGGGGGGAGCAGTGCTCCCTCGGAGAATCTTTTCTCTAATGTACCAACTTTGGAAAAGAACAAAACTAAGCACAAATGCAAACACAAAAACAACGCAAACACAACATAAAAGAATACACAAACATAACACAAACGAAAACGCAAACATAAAAATAATGCAAACACAAATGCAAACGCAAAAAACACAAACGAAAACACAAGCGCAAACACAAACACAAAAAAACGTGAAACAAATGTAAGTGTTTAAGTATGATTAGTTTGACTTTGCGCATTTTTTTCTGTCTGCGCAATTTTCAGTTACATAGTATTCTAATTGCGCATTTTTCTGGGAATATTTTTTTTTTCATATTTGTTTTTTTTTTCCCCACGTTTTCTTTAACTTGCTTTCTCTGTGTGTTTGTCTTTCCAATCCAATCTTGCGATCGAAATTTCTGGCACTTCCCAGTTAGCTAGCGCGCTGAAATTTTCAGGGAAGCTTTGTTTTGGATGACAATTGAATATTCTATTGTTTTTATTACTAAATTAATCCATGGAAACATTTTATTGATCATTTTAGACCGCTATATAATTGAACCAAAAAACGTGGGGGAAAAGGGACATTACCCAGTAACTGTAATTTGATGAAAACAAGGTTCGGCACTCCCCCTCTTTTTGCTTACTGAGTAGTTGTCACGCTGTGTTTGTGTACAAACAACCATAACGTAACAACTGGTGGCCAGTATGGGGGAGACGATATGGTCGAGTGGTTGGGCACACGATTGCTATCCCACTCGACACGGGTTCAAATCTATGTGTTCTAGTCAGTAACGTATTCACACAACGTGTTTTTTACGAGTTGTCTTTTTACGAGTTGTCTTCGTTTACCCAAAAAAAAGTGAAAAGATAAAATCGATAGCAAGATTTACATGCAAACAAACAGACAAACACTAAAAAGTAGAAAATAATAATCATTAAAAAAGTTTTTAAAAACCCACGTTTTCTGATTGAACTAAAAAGTAGAAAATAAATACTATACATCACAATAATGCAAGCGATCACTCTACTATAAGCTATCAAAAACGTGGGGCGCCGTGATTTTCTTACAGTTTCTAATACTGTTGACTCTCTACAAGCTCCCTAATAAAAGTCAATAGTATTATCTAATCAATAGTAATATAACTTTTACTTCGGCGACCCACGTTTTTGATAGCTTATAGTAGAGTGATCGCTTGCATTATTGTGATGTATAGTATTTATTTTCTACTTTTTAGTTCAATCAGAAAACGTGGGTTTTTAAAAACTTTTTTAATGATTATTTTATTCAATTAAATTCTGATCGCCTTACCTCCCTTGAACACGACCTTAAACCCTTGCGCATCAGAGTGACCGTTCGTGATGAAATTAAAATGGACGAGGTTAGTCTTGCTGATGTATGTCGTCATGGGCGGACTTGCGCAGAACCAAGTCTCGCCCTGTGGCGTCGACTCCATGATCCTCAGCCGGTCGTTGACCTGGGCGCACGGATTTGTTTGTCGTTTGCCGAGGTCAAAGTGGATAAAGGTAAACATAATCACCTGGAAAAGTGGATAAAGGTAAACATAATCACCTGGAAAAGTGGATAAAGGTAAACATAATCACCTGGAAATGTGGATAAAGGTAAACATAATCACCTGGAAAAGTGGATAAAGGTAAACATAATCACCTGGAAAAGTGGATATAGGTAAACATAATCACCTGGAAAAGTGGATAAAGGTAAACAAAATCACCTGGAAAAGTGGATAAAGGTAAACATAATCACCTGGAAAAGTGGATATAGGTAAACATAATCACCTGGAAAAGTGGATATAGGTAAACATAATCACCCGGAAAAGTGGATATAGGTAAACATAATCACCTGAAAAAGTGGATATAGGTAAACATAATCACCTGGAAAAGTGGATAAAGGTAAACATAATCACCTGGAAAAGTGGATAAAGGTAAACATAATCACCTGGAAAAGTGGATAATGGTAAACATAATCACCTGGAAAAGTGGATAAAGGTAAACATAATCACCTGGAAAAGTGGATAAAGGTAAACATAATCACCTGGAAAAGTGGATATAGGTAAACATAATCACCTGGAAAAAATAATACCGAACAGGTATTGCATCGAGACGGTAAACAAAAGAAAAAAATAACAAACAGGTAATGAGTCTTGATTAATACAAAACAAGAAAACATTTTTTTGTGTTATATAATTCAGAGGCTTAGCGACCCTTCCCGGCGCCCGGGGACAAACTATCGCTTTGCACCCCCTCTCAAACTTTCGATTTGCACCCCCCTCAAACTTTTGATTTGCACCCCCTTCAAACTGTCAATTTGTTTTTCCAGCTAATTTTGGCGCCCCTTGTGTCGGCGCACGGGCCGGCACGGGGACATGTTCCCCCCCCCCCCCACTCCCCCCCCCACTCCCCCCCCCCCATCGCTACGCCTCTGATATAACTACTTTCTTTTATGCAGTATAAAACATCTAAATACAAAACGTATACACGCTCGTAAATAAAGTCCTAAGGACGATCCATTTCTTTTAGATAGAAACGTAAACATTGCTAAAAGTTTTCAAACAAGCTAGATCTATACTGTTTATTTTTTCTTCAATTTAGCGTTTATTTTCGTCTACACAAATTTCTATCTATTTCGAAAAAAAAATGTTTTCGTTTACTTTTGCCTGTACAAACAAACAAGCAATGTTTGTCAATGCGGGCTTCCATAGTGGTGGTTTATCTCAAGGAAAACAATCTTAAAACCACAGTAAACACATCTTTTCCTTTGTCGTGTGGTTTTTGTTAGAGGTTTTTTTCCCTCTAAAACTTGAAGGATCGCTGCTTCGAAGCAGTAAGGTAAAGTTTCCCTTTCAAACCTGACGGTCTATGGGGCAAGTGAAGTTGAGTTCACTTGTTTCTGTGACCTCGGCATATGAAGAGATAGTGTGGTCAGCACTATGCCCAGCCGCCTTTACTTTCCCTAACGTGAGTTAGGTACCCATCAGAGTTGTGTGGACTCAGGGACGGTCTACTGACTTGACCAGGATTGATTCGAACTCGAGACATTCGGGTTAGTAGTCCAGTTCTCTACCACTCCGTCCCGCTTCGAAGCAGTGGTTGCCAATAATTTTTTTTGGTATAAGTAATGAATGTAGATTTTGATCACTAACAATTAGGTTTAGATCATGTTATTATATTTCGCTACTAGTTTAGAGTGTTTATATAAAAATTTAATGTTATATACAGTGGCGTAACTAGGGGAGGGCGGGTGGGGCGGCCGCCCCGGGCGTCAAACTGGGCAAAAGTAATAATTAAAAACTTAATTCTGATCTCAATGACTGAATGATACACAGGTGAATTTAACAAAAATAGACTACTGCTTTGCTTTCCTGACTGACTTAACTGTTTACAATTTTTGTGACATCAAAATGTGGTTCAAATTTGATTGGTCGCCCCGGGCGCCGGAATGAGTCGCAACGCCCCTGGTTATATGTCGTCCACTGATATGTGTCAAATAATGACAGTTATATAACGAAAGAGGGGGGGGGTTGAGGGAAGGTGCGCCAGAGCTGGATGGATAGTTAAAAAACATGAATTCTTATAAACTAATGTTGAAACAAAGCTTTAGTTTTAAAATATTATTACATCATGTATTGTGTGTATGGGTAGGGGCGGGGGGGGGGGGGGCGGGAAGGGAAGGGAAGTGGAGCTAAAGAGGGTGAGTTAAAACTGAAGCCAAAAAGACAGATTAGTAGAAAAGAATTCTAGAGGTATTTTTTTTCTTTTCTTCTTTCAATTGTCTTTGATTTCAGACTTAGGAATGGGGGGGGGGGGGGGGGGAATGCAAAAAGGGGGGTAACGAATCAGCGCTGGGTCTGGCATTTAACGTAAGCAGACGCCAACCAAACGATTGATCACGTGGGAGGTTTCATCACCAAGCAACCATTACCACGTGACATCCATCCTCAACAGAAACGAGGCTTCACAAGGATAAACAACCCTCTTGAAATTTGGAACAAAACAACGCATTCCCTCCATTCCCTAGGATAGTCTAGTGCCCGAAAACTAACATATTAGAGATATGGGCTTCGTAATGTTGTTATTTGTTGTTAGAGTTCAATGTTTACACAAGGGAAATCACTCCTTTGTTTCACTCTTCATGATTACACCCATAGAGTTGCGCGCCTTGACGATAATGGCGGCCGAGCCCCTCTGCGCTTGCGTGATTATATTGACTGAAAAATCCCAGCATGCTTGAAACGGAACTGCATTGGAAGATCGCTCTTAGACAACTGACAAACAAGCTTTTAATGTGCCAGATTTTCCCCCCTCTCTCGTCTCTTATCTAATTTCTCTTTCTGTTATATCGACAGCACTACAGAATTTTATTTCTCTTGCCACGAGTTTGCGTTTTATCTTTCAGCCCAAATATTTTTTGGTGTCAGTTCTTAATGACAATAAACCGGTAGTGATCTCCCCTAAACTTTCTCGAATATTCTTATATAAAACAACAGGGGATGGTAACTGGGGATATAGTTATGATCTTTAATCCATTTTAAATACTGAAACTTTTAAAAATAGAATAGAATCTCAGTAAAAAACAATTGCGCACCAAGCGAACGCCTAATAAAGGTGTGTATAATAGTGCGCAATAGTATTAGTACTTTATAAATTTACATTAGTTTTTTGAGAAATCGGAAGTAGCGTAAAGTACTACTTCCGGTCAACGGAAATTACTCAAAATTTAACAGAAGGTAGAGAATTAGATCTTTTACTTACATGTGAAATTTCATTTATCTATCTGAAATAGTACTTAAGTTATAGGCTTTTGAAAAATTCAAAGTAGAAAAAGTACCACTTCCGGTTATCCGAAATCGCTCAAAAGTTGATACGGATCTACGATTTTGATATAATACTTGTATATGAAATTTCATCAACCTAGCTGTAACGGTACTCAAGTTATCGTGTTTACACACGGACACACACACACACACACACACGGACACACAGACATACGGACAAGATTGCAAAATTATGTTTTTCCGTATCAGTTAGATGTAAAACGTCGAGATTTGCAAAAATCTCGATTTTTTTTTTTTGCACGATTACAAGACTTTCTCTATACTTCGTATATACGAGAAAGTAAAAATTGAGTTCGGCAATAATGTGGGATGTTGTTGAAATATTAAAAAAAAAAAATTGGGTAAAAAAACAAACGAAACGAAAATATCAACTGACACGACAGTGTATTGTTTTTACTGTAGTAATGTTGATTGTATAAACGATTTCTGGGTACGTTATAACAGAGGCGTAGCGAGGGGGGGGGGGGGGGGGCGGGGGGGGGGGACATGTCCCCGGGCGCCGACCTTAGGGGGGGCGCCAAATCGAAAGTTTGAGGGGGGGGGGTGCAAATGAAAAGTTCGAGGGGGGGGGGGGTGCAAATCGAAAATTTGCTCCCGAGGGGGGCGCCGAATTGAAAGTATGTCCCCGGGCGCCGGGAAGGGTCGCTACGCCTCTGCGTTATAACGTTTTATACTCTGGTTACATGAGACCAATAAGTAATAGCTTTTTGTCAAGCCAGTGGCGTTGCTAGGTCGGGTGTCACCCGGTGCGGCACCTCATGATGTCACCCCCCACCTTAATTTTATTTGTAAATTAAATTTTGCAGTTGGTGTCAACCCCCCCCCCCCTCCCCCGCAAAACCTATAATACTAATGATGTTTATTTATAGTTGGTTTTTAATACAGCTGGGTGTATATTTGTTTTCTCTATAGTTTCCATGTTTATGTCATGGTATCACGTGACATAAGAGGACCCCCACCCCAAGCACGTGATGTACTTAAATTGTGTTCCGGCACTACCCACATCAATACATTTGGGTGCACGTGACCCCCCCCACCCAGCACGTGACTGAAGAGACCCCCTCCCCTCTAGCACGTGAGGTACTCACCTTATGTTCCGGCACGCGAATTGACCAGGTACAGTTCAGGTGGTGTGAGTAGTTCCGTGGCCAGCCGGGGCTAGCGAAGTCCCCCTGGAGAGTCGTGATCTGACCCCCACAGTCTGTCAGAGGTAGGGAATACTTTGTGATCTTGTGGTAGAACATCACACAAGGCACACACAGAACACAGAAGCCACACACAAACCACACACAAACCACACACAAACCACACACTAGCCACAGTCTGTCAGAGGTAGGGAAGACTTGGTGATATTGTGGTAGAACATCACACAAGGCACACACAGAACACACACAAACCACACACTAGCCACAATCTGTCAGAGGTAGGGAAGACTTGGTGATATTGTGGTAGAACATCACACAAGGCACACACAGAACACACACAGAACACAGAAGCCACACACAAACCACACACAAACCACACACTAGCCACAATCTGTCAGAGGTAGGGAAGACTTGGTGATTTTGTGGTAGAACATCACACAAGGCACACACAGAACACACACAGAACACAGAAGCCACACACAAACCACACACAAACCACACACAAACCACACACTAGCCACAATCTGTCAGAGGTAGGGAAGACTTGGTGATTTTGTGGTAGAACATCACACAAGGCACACACAGAACACACACAAACCACACACTAGCCACAATCTGTCAGAGGTAGGGAAGACTTGGTGATTTTGTGGTAGAACATCACACAAGGCACACACAGAACACACACAGAACACAGAAGCCACACACAAACCACACACAAACCACACACTAGCCACAATCTGTCAGAGGTAGGGAAGACTTGGTGATTTTGTGGTAGAACATCACACAAGGCACACACAGAACACACACAGAACACAGAAGCCACACACAAACCACACACAAACCACACACTAGCCACAATCTGTCAGAGGTAGGGAATACTTGGTGATTTTGTGGTAGAACATCACACAAGGCACACACAGAACACACACAAACCACACACAGGCCACAGTCTGTCAGAGGTAGGGAATACTTGGTGATGTTGTGGTAGAACATCACACAAGGCACACACATGACACACACAGGCCACACACAGGCCACACACAGGCCATAGACAAGCTACACACAGAACACACACTAGCTAAACACAAACAACACACATGACACCCACAGAACTCACACAAGACACACACTAGCCACACACATGTCACACACAGGCAACACAAAAACCACACACAAACCACACTAGCCACTTAAAAATCACACACTAGCCACACACAAACCACACACAAGCAACACACAAACCACACACAAACCACACTAGCCACATAAAAACCACACACTAGCCACACACAAACCACACACAGGCCACACACAAAATCACACACTAATCACACACTAGCCACACATAAATCATAAGCTCACCCCACTCTATACTACAAACCACCTCTATACCAGTGGTCCTTAACCTTTTCCGAGGTCCCAAACCACCACCCCACACAATACACACCTACACATCCCGCACTTAGAGCATGCCACAACACTTAACAAAACACAACTCCCATAAACACACCATAATACATACATCACAACCCCAGCCCATCCAAACACAACCCACATTCAATCACACCCAAACACACCAACCCCCACACAATCCCCCACAACGCTCAACCAAACAAGCTCCAATCAACTCACAATCTCACACAATCACACACAACCACACCAACCCTCACACAACTTACAGTCCTACTCTACTACACCCAACTCCACACACAACCCAGAAAGCCACACCCCCTAACAATCACCACACGACCTCACACAACTCCCCCACAAAACCCACACAACCCCACACACAAACTCATCACTCACCAAGAGAGGGTTTCAGCTCAAAATGATGAACTTGTGTTGATCCTTGGTTGAAAAGTTTCCCCACATCACTTCCTGTTTTCTTGCTCAACATACATGTACTTGTTTTTATCTAAAATTAAACAACAAACAACGCAAATTAAATAATCATATCGTAAAATAATTATATATGAATTAACGATTTTTTTTTACCAACATAATTTCTTTCAAATTATCTCAATAATTTTTTTTTTTAATTTGTCATTCAAACGATAGCTTGAAATTTGAAAACCTCATTTTCTAACGGTAATCATAGAATTTAACAGATGTTTTAAAAAACATCAATTTAAATTAAAAAAAAAAAGAAATAACATGTTTATAATACATTTTAAATGTGTTTCATGTCACCATCATATTTTTCAAAAGTCGAATTTCATAGTGGTTAATTGAAATTAAAACTCAAGGGATGCTGGATAAATTCGTTTTACTCACACACGGTATACCCAAGGGTAGTTCTGCGTATTTTGAGTGTTTATTTTATTAAACAAAACTTTCACTTCTGTTGTAAAACACCTCATTCTAACCGAAATGACAATAAATTATTGATCTTTTTAGTTGCTGGTTTAAATTTAAACTCTATAGAGCTGTAGTTGGTAGCCCATACTCCAGCAGGACAGAGAACTCTGGAGAGCTGTAGTTGGTGGCCCATACTCCAGGAGGAACTCTGGAGAGTTGTAGTTAGTGGCCCATACTCCAGTAGGACAGAGAACTCTCGAGAACTGTAGTTGGCGGCCCATACTCCAGCAGGACAGAGAACTCTCGAGAACTGTAGTTGGTGGCCCATAATCCAGCAGGACAGAGAACTCTGGAGAGCTGTAGTTGGTGGCCCATACTCCAGCAGGACAGAGAACTCTGGAGAGCTGTAGTTGGTGGCCCATACTCCAGCAGGACAGAGAACTCTATAGAGCTGTAGTTGGTGGCCCATACTCCAGCAGGACAGAGAACTCTGGAGAGCTGTAGTTGGTGGCCCATACTCCAGCAGGACAGATCTGTAGTTGCCTGCCCTTACAATTACACCGAACCCCCAACGGCCCATAACTCTTCACCCACAAAACTTTAGATATCAATCCTCTCTGAACGTGATTTAAGCGTGGCAAAAATAAATGAGAAAAAAAACTGTGTATAAAAAAATGTAAGTAAACAATTTTTTTCTCTTACATCAGACAGTGTAAGAGATGTATTGATTACTCGGTGTCCTGAACGCATCGTTGCGGACACACATAATCCACCTAGAGAGATTCGAGCTGAAATATTTTTTTCTAAAATTGCATGGTGATCGTCCCTGATATTCTCTCCCCTTGCAGGGCGCTAGCAGAATATTTACCGTGTCTACGGGCAGGGGAGATAACAGAATGGGTAGCCAGAATAGGGTACTATTTTATATGCAAGGGAAGTAATACAATATTTAACAATCACATAGTCGCTTTCATATACGCAGGGGAGGTAATGAAACCGCAAAGGTGCAATATTTTGTACTAGCCTTTTAGACACATAAGTAAACATAATACATAGTAAATAAAGGTCTTTGTTTTAAAACAATAAAACAAAAATTTAGTATGAGTTTTGTGTTAGAATTATAAATACACTTAATACATGCAAATAAAAGTTTTTGTTTTAAAAAAATAAAAAAACCAGTGTAAATTTGAACCCATTTGTTTTATATAGCCTTAACATCTCCTACAATCTTTGTTACGTGGTTCACGGTTATCATTATTATTCTAAAGCAGGGGTCGGCAACCTGCGGCTCGCGAGCCGCATGCGGCTCTTTTGATATCAAGATGCGGCTCTCCAGCTCCTTGAACAAATACTAATAATCTTAATAAAAAAATAAAAAATTTGAAATTAAAAAAATGTTAGTGGCTCTTTAAAACCAGGGAAATTTTGGAAAATTGTAACTTTTGGCTCTTCCGCTTCAAAAGGTTGCCGACCCCTGTTCTAAAGGTAGGATTACTAAAGTGAATTGACTAGATAACGCATACAGTTTGAATGTGATAAAAACAGAAACATTGTTCGATAAACTGACAGAACGATGGACGGACACAGATTAATGGAGATGGGGGTCGAGGTAGGAGGGGGGGTGGGGCGTGGGGGATAAAGATACCGGGGGAGGGGGGTGGGGCATAAAGATACTACGAGTATGCTGCCCTATACGTCCCCTCTCTCAATGGAAGTGCCCCCTACAACAAGACAAACATCTGCCCTATGACGGTCGAAATGGACGCGATGTTACAGGGATGAAAGGCCGCACCACGGGGCAAGGGGTGGGGTAAATATTTGATCACGTGGCTCCCGTCAGTTGTTTCTTCAACAGCTGTCATCGTTGTGTCAGACACGTTTCACTCGCGAGGGAAATAATTCACGGGATGCGTGTTGTAATACAACTCTTTGAGTGATTATGTAATACATATGTCCGTGGGATAAGTGTTGTAATATAACTGTCTTTATGATGAGTGTTGTAATATAACTGTCTTTATGATGAGTGTTGTAATATAACTGTCTTTATGATGAGTGTTGTAATATAACTGTCTTTATGATGAGTGTTGTATTATAACTGTCTTTATGATGAGTGTTGTATTACGCATGATAAGTGTTGTAATATAACTGTCTTTATGATGAGTGTTGTATTACGCAGGATAAGTGTTGTAATATAACTGTCTTTATGATGAGTGTTGTAATATAACTGTCTTTATGATGAGTGTTGTAATATAACTGTCTTTATGATGAGTGTTGTAATATAACTATAACTGTCTTTATGATGAGTGTTGTAATATAACTGTCTTTATGATGAGTGTTGTATTATAACTGTCTTTATGATGAGTGTTGTAATATAACTGTCTTTATGATGAGTGTTGTAATATAACTGTCTTTATGATGAGTATTGTAATATAACTGTCTTTATGATGAGTGTTGTATTATAACTATAACTGTCTTTATGATGAGTGTTGTAATATAACTATAACTGTCTTTATGATGAGGGTTGTAATATAACTATAACTGTCTTTATGATGAGTATTGTAATATAACTATCTTTATGATGAGTATTGTAATATAACTATAACTGTCTTTATGATGAGGGTTGTAATATAACTATAACTGTCTTTATGATGAGTATTGTAATATTACTGTCTTTATGATGAGTGTTGTAATATAACTATCTTTATGATGAGTATTGCAATCTATCTATGTATATAATTCTCTTCTGGGAGACG